CATAGAGGTAGTACTAAGGTATATTTTAAAATAGTGTTTTTCATTCACTAAAAGTTAGAAACATGCTTGCTTCTTCAAAGCATATCTTTCACTTATTGTTTTTCGTGAGGTCTATTATCACGTCAACAACATGGTCATTGAATTCATTTAGTTTCGAATATCACTGCTGCAACAGATTGCTTGCAAGATTGCTTTTTTAATTTTAGATAACTGTTAACTGTAAACCAGTCACAGCCTTATGATTCATACTCATGTCTCTAGCGACCTCTGCTGGATATAGTTAAAAGATAAACTAAGCAATGTGACATAGCCTACCCAATAGTAACGCTTATTAGGAATTGCAGAAAACTCAAAAGCATGTTAACAAATTATCAATGCTCTGATTTCGTTAACGTCTTTGAGTATGTTTTAAAAGGTACTAACAGGATATCTGATAGATTAGCTCCAGAGAAAGGATTTTTGAGGGATAGTTGGCTCAAAAAATTAAATTCTGTCATCATTTACTCACCCTTATCACATTCCAAACCTGTATGACTTTCCTCCTTCTGCAGAACACAAAAGAGCTTATTTTAAAGAATGTTTGTTTTCAATGTATTTTGGTTACCATTGACTTCAACTGTATGGACAAAAAACCAAGAGGCATTTCTTTCTAAATATCTTATTGTGTGTTCCACAGAAAAAAGAAAGACATATAGGTTTGGAACAACATGGATTTTCATTTTTGGGTTAACTATACATTGTTATATCGGTTTACTCCCAACATCTGTCAATTTTAAGTTTGTGTGTTTGCATCCTTCTTTTGTTTTCTTACCTGTCTGTTTTTAGCTCTCTAATAAACACAACTTTAATTTCCCCCTCCTTCTTTAGTCGGTCCACAACAAGAGTCAAATGAGTATTACAGCTTTGGTTATATATCATATCTATTTCAGAGCCATTTTCAAAGGAACATATTGTATTTACAATAAAATGGATTAAGATTAACTAAAATGATAACTACAAGTTAATTTAATCCAAGACTATACACTATAATCTGAAAGGAACCCATAATTTACTCAATTCTTAATATTAAATAGTTTGTTATGAGCTGAATGTATTTTTTTGATCATGTTATCAGTTAAATATGTATCTGCTGAACATCTGAACACATACTGTATATAATATAATATAAAACACATACTGAGTAATCTATTATTATAATTTTATCCCTAAAATGTAATGGAATGCAGGCATGCCTTAAATTACAAAGACTCTCATATCAGTTCTAAGCGTTGAAACTATGTCTTGTATCTCTTGATATTACACAGTTGCTAAAGTGTTTCTGGACTAGCCACTTTAGCAGCATTTAAAATACTGAACAGAAACCCGGTATTTAGATCATGTCATGACGTGTTCATTCTTACCTCGTTTCTTTCGGAATGCAACAAATGCTAATTTGAAAAATTTATTGTGTCGCACTTGATGCACGTCACCATGCACTCATGATCTCAGTCTGTTCTCAGTGTTCTGTATGTTATGTGGCATTTTTAAAAATTTGTATCTGATCTCCACTCTTGTTTCCTCTACTTGTCAGGTTCAGCCACTCTGCACGCATGGCAGCAGCTCGCTCAGCCCCACCTGGGCGGCCTCCTGGACACACGGCCGGGTGTCGTGACCAAGGGCTTTCGACCGCTGGAACTGGACCTGGAGGAGGTGTACCAATTCACCGACCTGGAGGAAGATGAGCCAGGACAGCATTCCCAATCCGCCATCTCTACCTCTTGCCTGGGCTCTCTGCCTTGTTCACCTGCATTGCGACGACCTCGTGCCAACAATCCTGATAACCAGGAAGAGCAGCCCAGAGAAAATGGAGGGTCCCCTGTAGTGGGGCCAGATCAAATGGAGGCTGGAGAGGAGGAGGTCTCATCTGGTGAGGGACCCTCGTAACCCCACTAACCCTCCGGACAGGCTTAGGGGGGCGGGAACATAAAGCCTCACTATAAAGCAGACGATGCCCTAGTGGAGTACCCGTAAACCGCAGTTGTATTGTGCCTGTGAGGGCCTAGGATGAGCTGGTTCTCTCCTTGTTCAGCTGCAGGCACACACCCACTGCACATCATCCACTCACCCTGAAGACAGCTGCCATATTCTTTTGAGTATAGTCTTTTTTTTTTTACATTTTACTGTCATTCTACCTGTCAGTCATCTCTCTGGCTCCTTGTGCTGAAAAAATGAGAATTGAGCCTTTGGACTCACTCTAGAATGAAGTAAAATACTTTAAATATTAATAAATAATAATAAATGTTAATAAATAATATTTTTGAATCAAAATAAATTGGTATTTTTTTGCAGTTACATTTTAATTTAATTCATTACTAAATACAATTTAATAACAATTCAATAACAACATAATTGAATAATTATATTCATATACAATTGACATATATGTAATATGCAGCATATATTGTATTGTAGTAATGGGCAATCTGAATTATCCTAAAATATGCTTTATTTCTATTTATTTTATATGTATTCATTCATTTATTTATTTATATAATTTTATACATTTATTTACTTTTTTTCTTTTTTTTTGCAGATCCAGACATGGTCTTGACAGGCTTTCATTCATCTTTTAACAATTCACACCAAATCATTGATATTATATAAAATTGGTAGATCTACTCTAATTATACTTACAAATATGAGTATGATAATATGTGATAATTAGTACGAGCTTCTAGACTCAATTCTCATTTTCAGCACTAGTTCATTTCTGAAAGGCTCTTCTCAATCTCTCTTCTTACCTGCATTACCAGAACACTGTTTCAGAGAGTATAAGGCCTGGGGGGGGGAAACAACATTTATTTACTCTTTCTTTCCACACACTTGTCCCCCGATAAACCCGTATGTGAGATTTAGGCTGGTGTCCACCCTGAGGGCACAGAGTGTGATGTTCGATACTAAACTGTACAACACACATACACATCCCTGGATGCATTTAACACACACCATCACACATTCTCAACAGGAGCCCCAGCATGTAACTAACATCCAGCTAGAGTTCTGAGTGTGTTTAAAGGATAATGTTACAGAGTTCTATTAAAAACGTGGCGGTGTGAGCCACTGTCATGTGAGTGAAAAGACTCTACCGTCACTGGAAAGAGGTCACATTGACACCACATGTACACAAACACACTCCACATGCTTTCAATGTCAGGCTTGTCTACTACACAAACGTACAGAAAGCCACAATTTAGAGTGTTAGACACAATGCTCACATACCTTCTGTGAATATCAGATGGCTTGAGTTCACCTGTAAATATCTAAGATCATACAGACAATTGTTTTTTGTTTTGTTTGTTTTTGTTCTTTTTTTGTCTTGTGCTTTTGTTTTAATTTTGTTTGTTTTGTTTGTTCATTTTGTTTTGTTTTGTTTTGTTTTGTTTTGCTTTGTTTTGCTTTGCTTTGCTTTGTTTTGTTTTGCTTTGCTTTGTTGTTTTGTTTGGGTTGAGTTTTCGCACAAGACTGCCCTGCCAATCAATTAAAATTGTAATCAAAATTAATTACATGATATGCAATTATTTTGATCCATCAGTATTTGCTGTGAAAAGCCTCCAAATGTAGACAATTTGTATGTCAAAACGTGGCTTTTAAGTCCATATATTGTCCACAGCACTCTGCTTTGTTTTGTTTTGTTTTGTTTTGTTTTGCTTTGTTTTGCTTTGCTTTGCTTTGTTTTGTTTTGCTTTGCTTTGTTGTTTTGTTTGGGTTGAGGTGAAGTATCCCTTTAATCATAACTGACAACTTTCTGCTGAGAATTATTGAAACAAAATGCCAGCTGCTATACAGGTATATAATATGCTTTAGCTTGTCTGTAATAATTGAATTTGATCTTCCCTCTTTCCCACTGTTCTCTCCTGCTGTGTGAAGCTATTTAAAACTGCATCAGGATGAATCATAAGATTAAAAGTTCATGATTTGTATGTAAAGATTCTAATTTAAGCCCAATAATAGCTTGCATTATGCCACATTACATTGCTTTAGCTCTCCTCAGATCCTGAAGCAGTTTTAACTACCTCTGTGTGTTTATATACTGTAAGTGTGTTTGTGGTGTTTTGTACTGATGTTTGTCTCTCCTTTCTTGCTCTCCCCAGTGCATTTCCCTGGTAAATGTATGTCTCACACCAGCTCCACGTACACCTTCACCACCTGCAGGATCCTGCACCCTACAGATGAACTCACCAGAGTCACACCAAGGTAAATACTGTGTGGTCTTTTCATAATACCATCTTAAGAACTTGTTAGTATACATTATTTTATGGATCATATCAGACATTTTTGGCAAATACATTGTCAGAAATATGTGCAAAAATTGTACCTTTAGGATTACAGCTTGTCACTGGAGCAGTCCCCTTATATCTACCCCTGAAAGTTACTACTATTAAACTTTTAGGGGTAAATAAGGTACAGAGTTGTCCCTTTGATGGTACTGCACTAAACAAAAAAAACAATGGTCAAGCAAAAATTGGACAAAAAATCTATTCCCTAATGAAATCTGCTGACTTCCAAATGAGGGCGCATAGAAGGAATATCGCAGGGAGAAGCAACCTTTGGAACCGTAAAGCAACAAATAGGATGCCCTATGGTTTATTGGACAGTCTTAAATATGTAAATCTGTCTGTAAGTGTTCCAGACAAATAGCTTGTCTCTATAGCAAACATACTGTACAGCTGTGTGACTGGCTCTCTGCAGGTCATATGATGAGGATGATGAGGCGGCTCTCTATCATGTTGTTCTGGTGGCGGGTTTAGAGCAGACTCACTGAGCAGAGCCCCCTGGGGGTGAGGAAGAATAGCATGACCAGCCTAGTGCTGATTAGACCTTGTGTCATGAGAGTGTGCTGTTCTCTAACCAAACACAAACCACTCTAACTGACCTGAAGGATTTTCTCAACCTAACACCAGAACTTTTTTGTGGAAGACTTTATGCAGTATGACATAACAAATGTTTGTGTAAATAACACACACTGTGTATGAATCTATGATTATATCTGTGTGTATTGTAAATGAATACTGTAAAATACAGTATACTACTTGGTTAATACTTTAAATTACTGTAGAATGCATGAAGGAACAGAATGATAACAGAGCCATGATGTGTCCAATCAAACAACTTAACAATATATAAATACTGTGAGGTTTGATGTCAGCAGGATGTTAATTTATAATCAAAGGAATTTGCATCCAAAATAATATATATACAGTATATATAGTATAGTATATAGTATATATATAGTATATACTATACTATAGTATAGTATATATAATTAAAATAGAACAATGGCAACATAGGTCAAACATTAAAGCAAGGTGCTAACAATATCAAGGTCATAGGTTCGATTTCCAGGAAATTAGAAAAAAAATTATACTTTTAATGTAATGCAAGTCACTTTGGATGAAAGTATTTGCCAAATGCATAAAAAATAACGTTTAATTATTTGTTTGTTTATAGTTATTAATCAAAATAAATGCGAAATCGTGTTATGTCTTAGTGCGACTGTCAAACCGTAAAAGCTGCTATTTAATGAAATATATGCAATGCATGTTTCAAGCGCAGCACTTTGTTCTTACACGAGCATCTCATTATCCTAAGAGCAGCTCAAATCACAGTAAATGCTGCTATTAGTATTGTAATTTTACAGGTGTAATGTAAAATGTAATTATTAGTAGTAGTAGTATAATTATTAGTAGTAAGTTTTATTTTTTTAATAATAGCAATATTATTTTATAATCGAAAAATGTTGCCCTACAAACAAGTGCAGTAAAGCTGTTTTATCACATTTTAAATTGCAATTGCAGTTTTTATCAGAAAAATCACAATTTGATTTTTTTCCCATATTATGCAGCAACATATTGTGCCTGATTCATATAGTATTAAAAATTGTTTGTTTGTTTGTTTTTGCAGCCACTATATATTGTATAGAAATTCAAATCAAACCTGCACAATCAAAAACAGATTTATCCCAATCAAACTGCAAACACACTAACCACATAAGTGAACAAAATTTCCTGCATTTGGATTGACTTTATTGACTGGATTGATTGACATACTCACAACACTATTGGAATATTTCAGTTTGTTTAATTGCGTTCACAGAGTTATCAGTGCACGGTTTGGCTTATATAACTACATAACTCAAACTAATAAAGCTTCACTTTTTCAGTCTCTTGTCAGGTCCATCACTAGCTTCCTGTGTGATGTCCAGCAGCAGTCTGTGCTCAACCCCTGTGTCCACCCCCTGCACGCCTCGTCGCCTCAGCCTGGCGGAGAGTTTCACCAACCTCCGAGACTCAACCAAGACCACCAGTACCTCTCTGGGACTAGTGCGCCTCCTACAGGAGAGAGGTATATCTGCTGCTGTCTATAACCCTCTCAGTTGGGACCGGGCGGACCGAGCCCCTCCACCATACCCCTGTTCATCACACAGTGCCACCCCCACGCATCCCGGCCTGGACACGCTCCCCTCCACCCCTCCAAACTCCCCCAGCAAGTCCAAACCCACTAGTCTTGTGCTCCCTGTAGACTACAGCCCCTCGGACCCCCCCTACGAAACCTTCCTGGCTTCACGGCCAGCCAGCTCGATTCTGAAGGAAGTGCGGGAGGCGGACGAAAGGGCTCGGACAGATACGCAGTGTCAGACTGAAGTCAGTGTGCAGAACTTGAGACTGGTGGACAAGGTGAAGAAGTTTAGCCTGGCTCCCAGAACTTTGACCCCAGGGATCGGAAGGCCGGGACCACCGTTCGGGGCCCACGCTGTTGTGACTTCCCCTATCAGGGGACTGCCAGTGCTGAACTCAGGGATGAGAAGAAACCGCAGTTACCCAGCTATGGTTGGGGCTAGTATGACTATGAAGGGCCCAGGGCCACCCAGACAAACTAGCCTCAATGAAAAGTGAATGTTGCCTCTCTGTCGTCCCTTTTGGCTTTATTTAAATTTGCATTGATACAGTATATCATCCCTGCAACAAACTAGAGTGCCTGTTAAGATGATATTTGTATAGATTATTTTGTTATAACAGTTGCTATAACAACCTATTTTTGTCTATTTCTGTGTCCATCTGACCAACATATATAGAGTACAATTCATTCAGCATTGTCACATGTCTTGGTATATTCCAAGCTTTTGTCATTGTGTGTAAAAAAAAAAAAGTGGACAATTTGCACTTGCTAGCTGCCAGAAAATGTAGCATATGATCAGAGCGGAAAATTAACGCGCCAAAATGACTTTTAATTTAAGCACTTTTTGAATTTAAAAACTACTCAAGGATAAGCAAGAAAACGTCTTTTTTTGTTACTGTTGTAAATCTGGTCTTCCGATGTGACATTTCAAAATTGGTTAATTTCAAGATGCTAGCAAGAGCACTGATAGCACCTTAATGCTAATGGTAGCCCAGACATTGGTGAACAATGAAGTTTTGTCATTTATTATTGATTTTTAGGTCAGAATTTACTTTTTAATGGCCATCGATTAGTGCTTTAAATCAGCCCCTAGTGTGCCGAAAATCTGTAAAACATGCTTTTATAAGTACAAATACCTTCACATAAGCCTTTTCCATCTAGTCCATCCAATTAAATAACTGCAGTGTGATGTTAAGTGTCTAAAATGGCTTATTAATGTGTAATATAATAGTAATTACAGTGTAATAACAGAGTTCAACGATATGACTCTCAATAGAGGGCGCTGTTGACATGAATTGGTGATAATTTGCACATTAGCACAAACTCTCTGCGCTTTACATCCTCAAAAGTCGACTGACTGAAATACTTCAGAAACCGAGACCACAGGGCTGTGAAAGTGCTGCATGAAGAATTGCAGCAGGTTTGAACTTGAAACACAATCATGTTCATGTTAAGTCATCTTTTGATGTCCTTTTGTTGAGACCAACATTATTTATAAGTGTATATGTGGATGTACATGGCGTGTGGAATTGCAGTATCGAAGACTTGATGGGAAAAGTGCACAACTACGATTTCTTTGGTCAAAAGGATGTCAGGTTCAACTGAAAATATATACTGTACATCTGCTGTGGTTTTGGAACCTACTGACTGATGTGTGTCGTATGTAAAGCAAGTGAAGTATGTATTGTAAGCTTTAAAGATATCAAGGGTGCAATAGGAATTTATAGTGCCTGATTTTTTTGTTTTGGTTTTTTTGGACAGACTCATAATGGCTTCGCCTGCCACAGTATGCACTGACATAAATACTGTAACAATGTGTGATGTTGACTTCCCAATGAAGATATTTGAAGGATATATTATATTTGATGTATTGCAGAGGAAGCACATACAGTTAAAAGTGCACGAGTCGTTCTAAAGAAAAGGTCTGTGTTTTCTTTTAGTTGAGGCAAGTTTAATATGTCAGGTGTAAACGTGTGTGTACTGTATGTGTGTGTGTGCGCGCATTTAATCAGCATGACATTTGTTGAATGTGTTTCAGAACCACAGAGGTATCTGCCATGACTGAACATTGATTTCAATGGTGTTTATTTCATCAGATTACTGAAGGGACGTTTTACTTGTACATTGTAAATGGTAAATATGCAAAGGATTCAAATATGCTAACTTTTATATATAAAAAGCAAAAAACCTAAACTTGAGGTGAAAAAAAATTTGAAAAGCGATGACACTGGTGAAAAGTGGAGTTTTGGTTCATGAATTCTAGAAGCTCCCCTTTGCAGAGGATCAATAAACCAGTTGTGATAATTTTGTGTCAGTTGTCTTATTTTGCACTATTAACTAGGTGTTTGTTCAAGTACTATATGTCCATGAATATCCAAAGACGTTTTCAACATTCGTGATACACTAGCCTTGTTGACCACAAGAGGACGTGCTTCACCAACACTGAGCTTGTAGAAGAGCTTTACGTTTGTTTTTGCAACACCAAATCAATTCAATTCTCATATCCATCTACATTCAGTAGCATATCTGATTCTGTTACAAATTCTGGTCCCTACAATCTAAATAACCCAGCAACTCCATATCAGTCGTGTAATTCAAACACAGAACATGTCCAAAAGAAATTGCCAGAGCGGTCACAACGAGGGGGTCCATAATATGCCAGTTCATGTTTCTGAATCCGTCATTGTTTGATCTTGAGCTAACAGTAACACTACAGGGTCCTTATCTTGTAAATTTGCATGGAGTGAGTAGATGCTTGTGTCCAGACTTCAGCTGACTGATCAACAGGCCACTTTGTGTGAAGAGCACCAGCTATTTACTAACAATGTGATGATATTCAGATGACATTCTCTAGCTGAAGAGGGTTTCCATAGAAACACAAAATAAATTTATTGCGAACACAAATACAAAACACTTTGTTCCTGCAAGACTGTACTGAGTGGGCCTATTTTCTCCTCAAACTTATAGCTTCATTTTGGTAGTAATTCAGGCCTCTTTACTCTAAACCAAACCACTTTTCAACTAAAAGTTTATAGGCAGTTAGTCACAATAATTATCGATCTATTAGGGTTGTAACGGTACACATATATTTGTACTGAACATTTTCGGTTTGGTACGCATGTGTACCAAACAAATACAGCATTGTTTTAAGCACTGCATGAGTGGAACTTTCTTTGGAAACTTATAGTTTTTAATATTGTTACTTTTGATATGGAAATTCAAACAATAAATGCCGTTATAACACTCTTTGACTTGACACGACAGATTGCTGTATAAACGCCTCATTATAAAACGAATCGTTCCGGTCCTTGATTCTGATTGGTTGAGCAGTGTTCGAAACTGTTGTAAATTACTCTACAAACATACACCTTTGTTTATGTCTGTGTCGTTCGGCGACCACTTTGTTGCAACCACAACCGTTTCTGAGGAACTACATTGTTTGGCGAAAGAATAATGTTTTTATTAATATCATTATATTTTATTTGCTTTGTTTTATTTTGTGAAACCTTGTTACATATATGGAATAACTGTTTCATAAAAGCAATAAACCCAGTGAAGCCGTGGTTTACAGTGAATTTATAACAGCTAAGGGGCGTTGTTAGGCACGACGTGAAGTGGAGTGCCTAAAACCCCCTTAGCTGTTATAAATTCACTGTAAACCATGGCTTCTTGGGGCTTATTGCTTTAGTTTAAACTGCAGAGTGGAGCGCGAGTGAGCCTGATCATCCCTTCCTCACGTAATCACAGTGTTTTAACCGTGGAATGATTTGACGTTAAAACACTGCGATTACATGACAGCTTGTAAACAAAATGTCATGAAATGTCCCATCAGAATGAGGAAGATTGGTAATTTAAGTGACTTTGAAGTTCTGTGGGTGAAAATGTCTTGTTGATACCAGAAGTCAGAGGTGAGTGACCAGAATGGTTTGAGCTGACAGAAAGGCAACAGTAACTCATATAAACACTTAATTACAACCAAGCAGTGGCGTTCCGTCCATATAAGCTGCGAATGCTCCTCATACCCAGGCCATTTGAGAGAATAAGTTCACGGGATAATTCATATAAACATGATTATAAGTTGATCCCTTGTCATTTCGTGATGACAGTTCGCGATGGCGCCGACGCTGATGGCTGCCTCCGTGGCGTGCTCCGCAGTTGTTTTTATGTTTTTGTTAGTTTGTCCTGTCTTTAGTTATATCCCTGCAATCAGTTTCACCAGAGACGAATTGCTGGACATTCGGAAGTACACACCACCCGATATTTCACCGGTTTTCGA